GATAATAAGATAATAATAGTAATAATTCATATAAACATTATTTCTATTTATTCCTTGTTAGACTTTTTAGCAAATTACAAGGAGCGATGCCACGAATAAATTGTAGAGGAATTCTTTACACGTATCATCGGAAATATTACTTGCATCAAGTGTACCCGGTACGGCATAATAGTTTTCTTTTCTCCATCTTCATGTGGTGTACAGTATATACAGGGTTGGGCAAAAATTTTGTTCACCTTGAATATTTCCGTTATTTGTAATAATGTGGAAAAATGTTATATATAAAACTTGCATGATATGGAGGGGGAACATAATGTGACGTAACATTTTTTACGTGAGTGGAGGCGTAGAAGAGGAGATTTCAAGTCCATCTCTATTTCTTTAAATAGGATACTTTTTTTTTTTTATTGCTGTGTGATATTCGCGCTTTCAGCATGCTGTCATTAAAGGTCATTCAAGGTCAAATGTGGCGGTAAAATAAATTCGCCACAACAGTCTCTATGTCTCGACCACCCATGTGAAAAGCATTTATATCACATTATAGTCCCCTCCATATAATGCAAGTTTTGTATATAACATTCTTCTACATTATTACAAATAACGGAAGTATTCCAGGTGAATAAAGTTTTTGCCCTGTCCTGTATACATAATGTATATAAGCGTGAGCAATATATATATTATACATATATATTTGTTTCTCCTCTTTAGATGTATCTTTGCACGAACCTTGCGTGTTTCTTTCTTACTTTCTCTCTTTTTCTATATATTTCTTTCACTCCTCTCACACATACTCAACCTGTTTCTCTCTTTATGAATATAGTGTGAAAATTGTACGCTCCATACGACATACATTTTACGTCACTCATAAAGTGACCCTGCGATATTAATTAATTTTTCCCTTGTTATTTTTTCTTTTTTTTCTTTTCAATAGTATGTGATATCTAACTGGTTGAATATACTTAGTAATATTTACCATAATATATTAATCTAGACTTCTACGGAGTGACGATCATTATCATACACGAAACTCCATGTGACGCATGTACACACGCTAATAAATTTATCATCTTTTTCGTGTCTATATTCAATAGTTGTTATTATAATATTATACATAATTAAGATAAGCCTGGTAATGCGGCAACCGATAAGATGCAGCTGCGAATTTCCTTTCCTTCTTCACGTACTTTTCGTTTTACAATCTAAATGTACATTTTAGTGTCGAGTGCTTTTCTAAATGTACGACATACATTTAGGTAACTTAGCACTACGAACGACATTGCCGCAGAACCAAGCTTACGATATTTTATCTTTTATTCTTACTTGTAAATACGAAATACATGGCCTTACAAGATCGCTAGTGACAATAATATTCTTTTTCCTCAAAGTAGACGATACGCAAATATTGTTAATTGTTTAAAATTAATTTAAAAAATCAGTATAATTTGAAACATTCCTCTCATAATATAAATACACATGCTGAATTGCTATCGCTTATCCATTTTTTTTTCTTTTAGAATTTCGAATCAGTGTAGTAACAGTGGTATTCACTGCGGATGAATACTTCTGTGAAGTTGGCAAGGTTATATTGCACTTGATTACAATAATTAAGACTATAGAAAAACTAAAAAAAAAAAAAAAAAAAAAAAAAAAAAAAGAAAAGAAAAAAAAAACAGTAATTACAATTAAAACGAACTGACGTGAAATTTCACTCAGTATTTGTTTCCATATTAAAACAAAAAAGTTTATTTTAAATGTAATTTCTCATATTAAACTACACGCCAATTATAGCAAACGCAAATATCTAAATATTTCGAATATTAGCGATTATTAAATATACAGTACCTTTCTCAGTCACGTTTACGCAGAAATTTTTATTGTGAAAATAATAAAATGTATATTTATTCTTACAATGTGCGATTTTATACAGAAATTTATCTTTAAACCTAATACCAAATAGAAAAATCAAACTCGTGATTTTTTTTTTTTCAAACAGATGTTTCAGAACACATCAATTAAACATCCTTAGTACATTTATAGTAACGACGTGTCATTTGTTATGGAAGCGATAGCATAAAGTATATTTTAACGCGTGAAATTGATGATGCAGAACAATGTGACGAATGTAAATAATTCTTTCTGTTTTATGACTATTTCAAATGAAAACTTCATTTTCATATCGACCAGTTTAAAAGAAATAATTTCATAAAATATGTGCGGTATTTGATTGAATAGAAGATGTAGGAAACTGTACGTAATTTGAATAAAAAATATACTTTGTACTTCAAGCAATGCTTGGTAAATCCTTCAAATTATGTTTATACCATTATTTCGGAGGTATATCGTGCGTCACATTATACACGTCGAATTTTGTTTCTTTTAATTACCAGATACATTAATTTCGTCATATATTTTTCTGTTTGTTTTCTCTTCTTTACACGAAATTATTGTACAAAACAAATACAGCGTTGTATTGGTATCGCAATTAGTGCCTAATTGTAATTGAATTAATAGCGAGATTACGCGTACGTATCACTGACTCGCAGAGTCTCGAGTAACCTTTCTGCCCTCATCGAGCAGAATTCCAAAACACATATCGAATATTCATCTTTTTCGTAAACGATCTATTAAAATTATACAAAAAAAAAAAAAAACAAAATATAAAAAAAGAAAAGAAACAAAGAAATTCAAACTTTGGATAATACACTGCTATCGTTACAGCAGCACAATTATTGTTCAAAGTTGATGAAGTTCGAATAAATCTTCTTCACGTTTTGTACGAAACTACAGACGAGCATTGTGTCCACAACGTTTAAAACGAGAACAATGGAACGCTGCAGTTATGACGATTCACAACGATACTTTTATCGTACAATAACACTTCATCGATCAACTAACTTTCGTGCTTGTAGAAACTGTAAGTTTCGACAGTCTTCTTCTTTTTCTTCGAGAAATAAGCAGACAAAAAAAAAAAATAACTCAATGGCGCACCTTCATTAACCAATAACACAAACGTTCATTATGTATACACTCATTTTCTCTTCTTATGAAAAAATGCTTTTCCTTCCTTTTCTTTCCAATGTTTGCATTTTTCATTCCCTTCAATAGGAGGTCAATACACCCGGAGGAGTAGGTACAACAACGGTGTGTTGCGGCACTACAGGTGGAGCAGGCGGTGCGAGGGGATGTCCGACCAGAACTGCTGCTGCCGGAATTGGTAGAACACCGGATTGAGGAATGGCTGATGGGGTGCTGACTTGCGTCGGTGGCCCTTCCGCCGCATGCTTTCTCAAGTGTCTTAACATGTTACCCTTCTCGACGAATGTTTTCCCACAATCGGGACAACTGTGCGGTCGTTCGTCCGAGTGCGATCTTCTGTGAGACACTAAGTGTCCTTTGCACATAAAGTCTTTCGGGCAAAGATCGCAACGAAATGGTCTTTCAGCGTTGCTTCCTTTATTGTGCGAACGCATGTGGAAAAGTAGATTGCCCTTCAACGGGAAGCTTTTGCCACATTCTGTGCATACGAATGGACGTTCACCAGTATGACATCGCATATGATTTACGAGATGCTCCTGTAACAGAATATCGAGGAAACTACGGTTAGGATTGTTTTAATGTAATACTGATAAGAGCTTTTCACTCTTTCATCATGGGCGACAAACATAGTCAAGTTTAAATGGGTTTATTCAGCTACTCGAAACCGCTGTTTGAACGTTAAGGAACTATACAGTATTTCTGTACACGTACAAGTTACCCCTAAATTATTAGGAAGAAAAAACTAAATTTTTCGATATGCGATACATCAGGCCTGAACGATAATTTCTTTCTTTTTTCATGCTTCCACATAGAAATAAATATAAAGTCAACAGACAAATGATAAGATATTTGAGCAACTGAACCATTTCCTTGGACGGTCTTAGTAAATTGTACTAATATTATTAGATTATTAATAAAGTTTAGAGACAATGTATGCGCTATCGATAAAACAAGTCTTTTTAATGAAACTTCCGTCAGGAAGTAACATTACACTTGGATACATATTCCTAAAAATGTATGGAAAGAATTCCTGGGTTGGAGGAATCAATAATATAAAATTTCCAACTAACGTTCAATGGACCTATTTGATAGTATTATAGATTACAGTTTCTTAGGGGGGAAAAAAGAGGAATGGATATATAACATTATTTGTTATAAATGTTGCTGTTGTAAGTAACAAATTTACCCGTGCGGTTTGTAATGTGTTAAGTAATATGTTAAATAATAGTATTTAAGTTGAAACCTACCTTTCTTGTAAACGGTTTAGAGCATACGTTGCAACAATGCGATGAATCTCCGGTATGTTGACGGAGATGATTATTTAGATGTTCTTTCCTGGTGAACGTTCTCTGACAGAATTCACACCTGTGCGGTGATTCGCCGGTGTGGATTCGCACATGATTCGTCAAATGCTCCTTACGAGTAAATGACTTGGAGCAGAAGTGGCATCGGTGTGGCGATTCGCCTGTGTGTTGACGCACGTGATTTGTCAAATGTTCCTTCCTCGTGAAGGATTTGGTGCAATACTGGCACTTGTGCGGTGACTCACCCGTGTGTTGCCTGACATGGTTCACCAGATGATCCTTCCGTGTAAATGCTTTTGGACAGTACTGACAGCGGAAGGGCGTCTCTCCTGCGCACATTAATCAATGACGTCGCAATTTTTACTTTTCTCTCTGTCCAACCACCATATCTTATTTACGAGAATTGATTCGGACGATTTTATGCGATGCAACGTATGGATGATGAGGTGTGCATCGAAAATACAATTTAAATAATAGGATTCTTAAAAAATTCTGCGTTTGCTTACTTCATTCTCATTGTCCTTTTATTGTTTAAACTACTTCATGTTTCAGATCGTAGATTGGATTTTTCCTGAACTTTCAAACAGGTCATTCTTTGACAGAAAAATATAACACAAGTGTGAATTTTCGTATTAACATAAATGTAATAATACGAAGCAAAATGCAAAATTTATAGGTAGGTAAATGGGTAACTTATCTAAGTTTCACAACATATAATATGTAAAAGTGAAATTCTTTGCAATTCATATTGTACACAATTTTGAGTATTAAAGATTGCACTAATTTAATTGTGAGAGAAAGCACAGAAATATTTTCGACATCGTCACACCCTTACGTTACATCATAGAAATATTAACTCGTTCAATGGATAATATTCTAACCTCGTATATTCAATAAAACTATTATAATTTCCACATGATAATTAAAAGAAAAAAACGAAACAAAACAAATGAAACAAATTAGTATAAACTGTTATACCACAAGTATAAATCTCTTTACGTTAAACTAAATCTTATTAATAAATTTTGCCACCTACGAAATGAAATGAAAATGAGAATGATATTATGTACAAATTTCTGACCAAAAACAAAAAGAGTGATAATAAGTCGACTAGAAAACGTCTCTAGAAACGCAGAGGCATTATGAAAACGTTTTATACAGCGAGAAGGCTCTGAAATAGTTAATAACAAGCATGTATGAGAGCGGTGTATTAGGCAGAACAGTAAATGTCTCTATGGGATTCGATGAAATGGGACAATTGTGATCGGTTAAGCTAATTGCTAGTTAGACACAATGTGACTTGTTATGCACGAACGGTGAACGTATTATACCAGGTATATTGTCGTAAATAAATTTTCATCAAATATACATATGACACACACGCACGTATGCCTGTTCCTTTCGCATGCAAATGTGCAAGTCATAGCTAAATATCATGTAAAAGCAAAATTGAGACTCAATATGCATTCGAAACCAATATGCTCTAGAACGATTATTTTTTTTTCTTTTTTTGCGTAAACGAGACATAAGAAAATGTTCAATTTAGACTTGGACAAGGACACGAACGATACTCGGTGTATGGGCCACTACTTGTCAAATCAAACAAGAATTGCAACCGTAATCTTTTTTTTTTAAACTCACTATTCATTGGTACTCTTGAGAAATTAAATTGTGTAAAATTTTAGCTTTCTATTTCGAACCGTTTTCGAGATATTTAATAGATCAGCTTATTACCAGTTCTACTACAGAAGAGTTCACAATTTGGATTGTCCAGCCTTCGTGTTCTCACGCCTTTTTTTTTTTTTTTTTTTTACTAAGAAGTGATTTTCACATTGCAATTCTTCCATATAAGCCAGCTTTTTGAAGTTGCCCATTTCACAGTGGATACAGTTATCGGGATATTCACTTCTGCAACAATTTCTGGGGTTGTTTTGCTTCTGGTTCGTTTACTTGTTATAACAATTTCACGATTCTTTACTGGGATTCTCACTTTAGATCTTCCAATTCTTCTTCTAATTTAAGACACTGTCAGAACAAATTTCTGAACATTATAATCCAGCGTACCCCGATTTAATTGCAATTTGTCTATAACTTTTACGCATACGATGGAAATTTGTTCGTTTTCGGCATATCTGTCGATTATTCGCATTAAAACGCACTGAAACGATCCTCTCCACGTTAACACTGACGAAATAAATTCACAAATTAGACCAAAAAGTAATTTCTAGATAGAAGAAACTCCGTAGGTAACTGCGTGCGTGCATTATAATGTATTACAATACATTTGTATTAAAAATTTCGGGGGAAAAAGCTGTATCTAACTTTGTCTTTACCTGGGGGTCAGTTTTATGATTTTTTTCCATGTAATAATTTCTGTAGCAAAAATTTTACATTCGTAGGGAATACTATTCTTCGCTCTTTCGTGGAACTTAATGGAGATAAAACAGATGTGAAAAGAAATAATAAATATTTACCGTAATAATATCAGAAAATATACATACATGGATGGGCAAATACGTTTGATCGGCAGTGTGTATTTGGAAAAAGTATTCCTTCAGCTTGAAAATAGTAACAGATACAAAGAATGCTCCTTAACACGTTGAGCGCGGAGCCGATTTCGCTCTGCTTCCCGTTCAGGCGGCACACAGCGGCCATCACTTTGCGAGCTGTTCGGTTATAGAGTATAAACAGAAGATAACAAATGCGCTCACACGGCATTCAGACGAAGAAATACCAATCTGGGTTGATAGAAGAAGTGTTCATAAATTACAAAAAAAAAAAAAAAAAAAGATGTGCATAACATTTATTTTTTAAATACGATACTGCCGGTCCCACGGACCGACGCCACCCAAACGAAAAGTTCACTGTCAGTCCGCACGGACCGACGCCGCCTAAACGGAAAGTTCACTGTCAGTCCCCACGGACTGACGCCGCGCTTAACGTGTTAAGCAGAGCCTAAATATGGGACATCTTGAAAATTGTTTATGATCGAAAGGTAAAATTTTACACAGCCTAATTTCTGAAGACTATCGATAAACGCGGTGAGCTTTAAAATAAGTTTGTATCTTAAGATTGTAAGTTTTAAGCAATTTAATGCGCAACATGGCTTGTATAATAACACGCGTATGTGCGTGTGTTATATGATGTGTTACATGAATATGGTGACTCAGTAATGATTGTACTTAATTTGTGTATTCTTAACTTAATATGATTTTCTAACCACGTATAAACTACTACTCTTAGAGACAAATATTACAATCGATTGTCCGTGAAATGGACATCTGCCAACCGCTCTCACCTGTGTGTTGGCGGATGTGGTTAACAAGGTGTTCCTTTCTGGTGAACGATTTGGAGCAGAAGCCGCATCGGTGTGGAGACTCACCCGTGTGCTGGCGAACGTGGTTCAAAAGATGCTCTTTTCGCGTGAATGTCTTCGAGCAGAAATCACAGCGGTGCGGCGTCTCACCCGTGTGCCACATTATGTGGTTCGTGAAGTGCTCCTTTCTCGTAAACGACTTACCTGTATTCGCAGCAGTAAACAGAACCAAGAAAAAGAAAAAAAAAACACATTAACACACATTGTATATATAATGCCAATAAAATCTATAAATATCTTTGTATCAGTTATGTAATACTATTTTTTTTGTTGAATATAAAGTGTAATTCTTTTAAAATATATTAATTGTAAAAAACAGATACATAATAATACTAACAATATGAAATTATATCCCTTTAGCCATAATTAATATTATATAGAATAGATACACATGGGGTACAGAAGTTACTATTCATATGTACCAAAAATAGATTCTCTATAGTGCTTTTCAGTTAAATCTTAATAATGAAATCTATACACGCAAAACATACGTATTTCCATTGTAAAAAATTTAATGGAAACACATGTTAGAATTTAACGATAATAATGAAATATTGAAGGTGCTGTCAAGATGATTATCAATTTGTAACACGTGTTAATAAGGTGGGTACACCACCCTGATACGTCTACAAATAAGTAAAGTTTCAGAATTTTTTTCGTAGGTGAATGAAAAGTTTCAATTTTTTCAGAGGATATAAATGTAACTTTCAGCTTTTTTCTCTAACATTTAAAAGGTAAAAATATTACACAATGGAGGAGTTATTACGAAACTTGCTCTGCTAGAACATCAATTGCTGGCCGCAATCGTCGGTAAGGATTGGAACGTCTGAAATAAAAATTTTTTTTGATTTATGAATAAAAATGCATTACTTACAACGTAGCGTACAATTTTTTCGATTATCTTAATTATTTAATTTTTTAGGAACGTTCAAAGTTAATTTTTTTTTAGCAAAAAGTGATTTTTCTTCTTCAAACTGCCGCCATTTCTATAATAATTACGCTTTTTTTTAAATCATACGCTATATTATAAATAATATGTTTTTGTTTATAAACCAAAAAAAATTTTTTATTTCAGACGTTCCAATCCTTGGCAGCGATGGCGGCCAGCAATTAATGTTCTAGCAAAAGAGGTTTCGCAATTAGCAAATAACTCTTTCATTTTGTAAAATTTTCATTTTATTAAAATTTGAGAAAGAAACCGAAAAAAATAACATTTATATCTTTTGAAAAAATTGCAACTTTTCATTTAGTCATCTATGAAAAAAATTCCCAAACTTTATCTATTTTTAGATGCCTCAGGATGATGTACCTCCTTGAATTTTACTTGATACTTGTATTTTTTCTGTATATAGAAGTCTAAATAATTAAAAATAAAATTTTTTTTCAAAATTCTTGCAATCTTTTGAATTTTGTTATAGTTCATTATAACGAATAGTATAATAAAATTAATTGTATGGAACCCAAAGTTTCATTTACATTATTAATCACCAAGTAACTATATATTTTAAATATTTTGAATATATATCTACATAACCAAACAACAACATTTCCAATTAATGTTTTAAGCTTGTAGTAATGTACAAACAAACAAAAGTATAACACATTTAAAGTATAAGTTATGGTGATAAATTAACAAAATTAAAATTCAAATAAAACCGACAAACATACCATACTTGCATAACCCGGAAAATAAAAGTGTATCTTGATGGTAGAAGTACGTGTTCGCAATATGTACCAACCGCTTAAATTTACGAAATAAGTCATGACATTGGGGTTTATGTTAAAATGCAGACGTATGGAATGCCGGTAAATGACTTGTCACCTGTAGCGGCGACCACCAATAAAATAATAAGTAAAATTGACCAGTCAAACGCACTGACAATTCGAAGGTTAGAAAGACGCTTTTCTGAAGGAATGCGCAGCGACCGATGACATGATGCGCGATCAATTCTCTGTGAATTTTATTCCATCCCAGCCTCTCTTTTAACGGGTGTACGTAAAAATAATTTGCGGTAACTTTAAAATCTAAGAAAAAAGTATTCAAGACTCAATGGTAATTTTTTTTGGTTTGTCACTCTTGTTTTTGTAATTTCAATTTTTATATGCTACTTAAATGTTGTATTTGTCAGAAGCATTTATATTAAATAACATTATAAATTCTTTATTGAAGTTCACTTACTCAACTTTGTAAGTAAAGATCACTTAGAATTTATTACAATGCATATAATTTCACTTAAATACATTTAGATTTATGAATTTAAAGATAGTCTATTATTGAAAATGTTTTTATAGAATAGATTTTATAGTTTCTTTTGCATATAAAATATGTTAATGTATAATTTTGCTGAGTGTACATGCACTAATATGTATACTTAAATTTACGAATTGAAAAATTGAAAATAATATCGAAAATTTGTACAGCATACTTGTTTTCTTAAAAAGTTACTAATTCACAAATGATTTCGTTTAACAAAGATTAATAAGATAATATAGTATAACCCTTTAGGCTAACAATTATTAAACTATTTCATGAAAATGCTAGTTTACATTATATAGTAAGTAGATTCTTTTCAAATTTTTTTTATTAACTTTCATTTAGTATTGTAGTATTATGATTCATTTAGTACAGAACTGACTTTCAATTTGAGATATTTTACATTTTAAACTCTGAATTTGAAATATTTAGTTATCAAACAATATTTAACAGTTACAACTTATCTTGTCAAAATTTACTACTTTTTACTAAAAATTTCAAATGTTACTAGAAAGTCTGACTCATATGTTTACACAGACTTGCACTATTAACATGATATGTAAAACGGTTTTAATAGTAGAAGCATAACTTGTACTAATGAACAGCATATCAAAACTTTATTGCTAATTTTAACTTTCTATTACTGATATTCTAAATAATTCTAACACTCTAAAATATACTGGAATCGGAATTATTGTATTTGAACTGCTTATTTTATGTGCATCATTAAACAACAATATTATCGTTTTATATATTTGAATAATTTCCTTTTACAGTTGATTAGATTAAATCAACTAAATTTTCATTTAATTTCCTTTATACAGTATTTAAGTATTCAAGTGTTACTAAATTTCAAATGTAATTTCTACAATAGATACACAATTTAATAAAGATTTTTATAAATAAATGAATATTTTTGTAAAATTACTTTTATAACTAAAAGTGCAGACCCATGTGAATAAATTTATCTCCTTGGTATTTTCCAGGTATTGTCAAGTCAAATAAAATAATAATTTGATAATAATAGTAATAATAATTATAATTGTAGAACCCATTTTTTAATGGGTCAATGATCAAGTACACCGAAAACACTGATTCTCATTTTCCGCACACAATGTGTTACCTTATTTTTCGAAAACTAGGTCTAGTGCATTCAAACTCTTTTGAGGTTTTAGTACTACCGGTATAAGGGATTGAATACATTGTAAAAAAAAATTAATTATAAATATTTTAAAACAATTACTATTTTTGAAAATAGAATTTTAAATTTAATAAAATAACACGATTTTTCTAACGAAACTCTATAAACAATAATTGACTCATTTTTACATACAATAGTTCCATTACTATTTGATATCAGTAAAAAAAAATATATCAAAGGAAAAGCAATTTTTTGTTACCATTAATTTCAATATTTTCTGAAATAATTGAAATATTCAAAATAATTTATTACAAACTAGTAACGAAAATAACATTTTCATATTCAAAATAAGTGATCTCTAAACCTTATAAAAATGGCATATTATACATACTACTTCAATGATTTCATAAAAAATATATTCATTTAAAAATAGATTATGTGCACATCAGATAAAATTGTACATAAATAGTATGACTTGCATGAATATTACATTAATGAAAAAATAGATTACGTACCGCATATTTCACAGCGAAATGGTGTATCATTGGTATGTGAACGCATATGGTTTGCGAGATGTTCTTTACGTGTATATTTCTTGCCACAAGCTTGACAATGGTGAGGAGTTTCTCCCGTGTGCCACATAACGTGATTCATAAAGTGTTCTTTACGAGTAAAACTCTTTTTACAAATATCGCACCGATGTGGTGTTTCACCCGTATGTTTACGAACATGATTTACCATATGTTCTTTTCTCGTAAACGTCTTTGAACAATACTGGCACCTAAAATATAACATAAAATTACTTTGATTTTAACGTTATTTAAAATATTATTAATCTCATTCTTATTTGAAATTAAACAAACAGTCGAACATTTTCATCAATCGTGTATTACATAACACTAAGAATTTAACAGCTTTTAACAATTTACAATTTAAAAATGAGATATATAGCACAGAATGCAATTATTTATAAATTGAAAATTGAAAACGTCGATATGAAAAAAAAAGATTAAATTTAATATATTTCATGAAAATTGTAATTAAGGAATCTGTAGAAATCCAATGGTTAAAGAAAGTAAACTGCCAAGCGACGGGCATATCGTCTGCAGCAGTATATAGTTGTCACAGACATGTACAAATCTACCAGTCAGACGGCTCGTATACGTCACAGGCTATGTGTTAAGTTGGTTAATCTACTTAAGCTATAATGCATAAGAATAAATGTATTTACCTATAAGGTGTTTCCCCAGTATGACACCGAGTATGATTATCCAAATGTTCCTTTCTTGCAAAGCTTTTCCCACATACAGTACAGTTATACGGTTTATCAGTGGCATGTCGCTTCATGTGACGTTCCAAAGATGGTGCATTTGCAAATACATGAAAACATACTGTACAAGTAAACATGGATCCACCTAAGTGACATTTTCCATGTCGTGTCAAGTCGTTTGCATTTAAGAAGGCCTTGCCACATACCTAAAAATTGTATTAAATTATAAATATAATAAATGAAATTGAAATGCAACAAAAAACTAGTATTTATTATGTACCTGGCAAGTAAAGGGTTTCTTTTCTGTATGATATCGACGATGTACAATAAATTGATAGCGAAATTGAAATATTTTTCCACATATTTCACATGTATAGCTTCCTACTGACACAGGTGAAGCACTTGGTCCGGGAGTCGCTTCACCATCACTTGATTTAATATCGAACTTATTTAATTGAACTTGTTGCACAATTGGAGTTCCGTTTTGTATAGTGGTAACTGTTTGAGTAGGAACTGTACTTCCAACTAAGGTTGTACCAGCTGCTATTTCACTTTGTAATTTTCCAAATACTTCATGATATGCTAAAAGCTGATTAATATCCTCGACATTAACCTGTAAAGTACAAGAATTTTATATAAATATTGAACATTTTATTCTATGAAGTGCACCATAAGTATGTTACTATTTTTTACCTTATACATGTTTTGCACCATTTCAACACCAAGTGTTTTTGCTAAATCTTGCTCATTTCCAGCACTGATTTTTACAACTGAACCATCAGCAGTTCTTACATCCATCATATGTCCTCCTGGTTTCAAATCTGGCACTTGGAATCTGCGCAAAAATTATAATATTGATCGTATTATAAAATTATTGTACTTAATAAATAATTAAACTATTTAAACATACTGAGTCATATTTAGTTGGCGTAGTTCTTTTTCCTTTTCAGGCTTTTCCGTACTATTTTGGGTTCCACCTTCAGTGGAAGAATTTCCACTAATGTTTACACCAATTTGTTGTTGCTGCTGCTGCTGCTGCTGTTGTTGTTGCTGCTGCTGCTGCATAACATTTTGTTGCAAATCTTGGGATGTTTGTAATTGAAGATCACATTGAACTTGACAGTGAACTTGATTATCACTACAACGTTCAGTTGTGCAACTTCCACCTTCATCTTTCACTTTATTATCATCTCTCTGTGCATTTTGATTATGTGCAGTTGGTCCACTATTCTGAGCATTTTGATGATTCTGCATTTGATGATGAGATTGTTGCTGTTGTTGTTGTTGGGGTTGTTGCTGCTGCTGGTGCAGCTGCTGTTGTTGTGCTGCCTGCATTTGCTGCTGCATTTGTGCATGTGCTGCCTGTAAATGACTGACACTGGCAGGTATGTGTGCTCCATCTAAATTAAGGCCTGGTAGAGAAACTGGTATCTGCTAAATAAAATACAAAGGAAAAATATTACTATATTCCTTTTTCTTACATAGATTAATTATAGACTTAATTAATTAGTTCAAAGTATTCTTAATTTAGCAATAAAATATATTTTATAATTTTTATTTCATAACATATTGCAAACCAGATTATAAACACAGTAGTATTGAAAAGTAAACAGTATCAATTTTATTACATATGTGTGTCTGTGCCTGTTGAACATATGAGCAAAATTTGTTGAAAACCTCATCAGGCACCCTGTATATATATGTAATAAAATTCATTGTCTCTACCTCTGTCTCTCCTCTCTTTTAATATTAATTGCAACAATTAGCATACATTTATGTACAATAAGAATAGAAATTAAAATAAGAAAAAGTTTGACAAAAGCCATATTTTAAATAAATGTGAAATTGCAAGCATTCCATGTGTATTATTGCAATACGTAATTCTGACTACCTACTCACACTTAGATGAGGTTACATACAATTCAGTATATTACCATAACTCCTGCAAATGGAGGTACTAAACCTGGATCATTTATAAGCTATATTCAATAACTAGTCATTGCATACCTCTAAGTAAACAAACCTGTGGATTTGGTTGTAAAGAACTATGATGACTGGTACTGCTAACTGAAGGTTGGTGATGATGGTGTGTAGGTGTTGACTGATGGTGCGAACTGGAAGTCAACGCCATTTCTTGATTCAATGAAGAGGCTGGCTCTTTGGAAGATGCCTCTCCACCTCCACTACTCCTATGTGAGGAGTTATGGTGGGAATGATGATAGACCGAAACCTGAGGTAGCGGTCCAGGAAATAGATTGGTGAGGACCCAATATTTAGCTACCGAGGAGGCTAACGCTACGGCTGTACCTACACGCAGGTCCGTGGATGAATGCGGGGTACTTCCTACATTGCCAAGACTGGTTGCTGTAGCCAAACCACCTGGGTATGAAGGACGACCACTTTGACCCGCGTTTACATCCTACCGATATATATTCAAACATTTGTACAACATTGATAGAGCATGCAACAGCATGCAGCAGGCTCAATTCCCATCAACAAATGCGCTAGTTACCAAATTTCAGTAGCAGTACAAGGCCTATAAATTAAACTTCAATGAGTTCGTGCAACCACTGTCAATATTATTGATTATTATATATAAAATTTATGTCATTAGAAATTAAAATACAGTTAATGCTAAATCCAATTTCACACTTATATAAAATACATGCTATAATGTTAACATCTTATGTTTGTTAAATATTATAAATACACTACTACACTATTTATAACATTCTATTTTTTTAAATTTAGAAAATATATTCTACAAATATTTATACTGTAAAAGAACAAGCTGATAAATATAACATATTCAAGCAAAAGCTACTTTGTTTAAATGTGCTACAAGCTAGTAACTTAATTAGGAAATGACGTAAGTTTTACGTAAATTTCCATCATCTACATATAATTTTGTTTTATACACAAATAAATAAATATTATGCAACATTGCATAA